GCGGCCGCCTCAGACTCGGCCCCCCGCCCCCGCTGCGCTGCTCTGGCTACAATAAATGGCCCTTCCCTCGGAGCCGGCGCGGCTCACCGTGAGCCTGGGGACGCGGGGGACGGGAGGGCCAGCCCGATTCCACCTCTGACCCCGCCTGCGGACCAAAGGGCAGCGACTCTTTTGCTAGGCGATTCCAATTTCCACACCCTCAACCCTCAACCAGTCCCGGGCGGAGGGCAGAGGGCAGAGGACAGCCTGCAGCCACCCACCCCAGGCCATCCTTAGGGAAGGTGGGGTTGAGAGTTCGGGCCCGGAGAGGGAGGGGCTGGGTGTTGCACCAAATCCAGTTTCTCCTCCCTGCGGGAATCCAGCTCCACCTGTGCACGCACCTGCTCCAAGACCACCCACAGCAGGTGGCCCCGGCTGGGGGCGGGGCTCGCGGCTGCTGCTTTCTGCACCGTCCCCGGCCTGAATCCCGGCGCCAGCCCTGCAGCCCAGGGCGGCCAGAGGGTCCTGCGGGCCCTGCCGGGTTCCGGCCGCGCTTGCCCGGGCCGGGCCTCGCGTGGTCTGCGCTACCTGGGGGAGGGTCCAGCCGGAGACGGCCACTTGGCCGCAGCGGCGGGCGCAGGGTCCCACCCTGAGGGGGAGCAGAGGCCCGGGGCTGGGGTCGTGCCCTCCAGGTCCTTCTGACCAGCCAGCGGGACCGCCAGGGGGCCCCCAACACACACCGTAACCCCTCACCACACGCTACCCAAGGATGGAGCCCGCGTGGGCCTAGGCCACCGGGAGGCACGGCCTAGTGCGGCGCTGCCGCCGCCCCTCCTGGAGCTCACCGAGGAGGGCAAGGATCGCAGGACGAGTGAGGGGTTTGTACTCTGTCCTGGGCACAAGGGCGACGCACAGAGGGGATCTAAGCAGACATGGCCGCCGTGGACTGCGATGACCCAAATCCTCGCCCTGTCCTATTCGGTTTATTTTTCACATTTAGTTTTATTATGAAGCCCGCAGCCTGAGTATGGCAGGTGGTCCCCCATCCGAGCGCCGACCAGGCCCGGGCCTGCTCAGCTTCGGGTCAGCGGACGCGCGCGCACTCGACTGGTGGCCCTGGGGCTCGGCCCCCGTTGACACTGGCGTCTCCCTCAGCCCCCTGGCCTCTCCGGCGCCGGCGCGACCCGGAGCCGAGCCTGGGGCAGGGGCGTGCGAGGCCTTTTCGGAAGCGCCAAACTTCTCAGGAAGGAAACAGGGCGTGTCAGCACCGCGTCCTCCGTGCCACGCGTCGCCACGCGCCTGACATTAGCTGCTACGTCTGCTTCCTCATAACTTTCTTGGCAGAGAAAAGTGCTGCCCGGCGCGGGCCGAACCGAGTTCGCCGCCCGGTTCGCGTGGGGTCGCGGGGTTGGTCGCCGCGGGGCAGTTGGAGAGATCCCGCCCCAGGCAGCAGGCCCCGCCCACCCCG